GACCACTTGAAGAGGAAGACTTATATCAGCACCGTAAAGACTTAGATAGTGAACGAGTAACTACAAAGTTTTCGTAAAAACAAGACTGTGCAATAATCCGTTCGCGTAGTTTAACTGCTGTGTATTTTATTTTAGAAGATTTAGTGTTTCCAGCAGAGATCGTAGGCAAACGTATTCGTGCCAAATTGGATGGCACCCAAATTATATATAAAGGTGCATTTGGATAAGAATCTACAAACGACCATTGAGCACAAAGTAAGTGTTAAATAACACTTATTTCATTAAATCTTTTTTTGCGCTTGTGTTTTTTGCTGTTTAAAATTAGTGGTCCAATGTTTCGTTTACGCTTCATTGCTCAAACTGAATTGTAGCTTATTCATATATTGGTAACATTCATCAAATTTAATGAGTGTAGCAATTAACTTGCAGCAATTAATTCAATATGTCTTAATAATAATAATTCATTAAACAGAATAATATAACAATTTTGCATGATTTGCATAAGGATAAGGAATTATTTGAAAATAATTTCTGTTGTACGAATACGAGAACGAGTACGCATAATTACCGTACATTGTCTATAAAGTTTTGTTGTAACATTGAAAAAATATTGTAAATTTTTTGCATTGTTATTTACTGTTATTCACGATTTAAGAAATTTTTGTTGCATTTACCATATTTGAGTGGTGCTCGTGTCGGTTATCTTCATTTCTTGAACTTCGAATTTATTACTACATTTTTGGTTTATCATAATCAAACGTAACTGTAAATAAAGAAATTTAACATCAATCGGACTAGAAGAAAAATTGAACGCCCAAAGAATCCCTACTCAACCGCTAATATATTTTCGAGATGGAGTTTCTGGTGGATGAGAAATATATTTCATAAGGGTTTGCAAGGACCACTTGAAGAGGAAGAGTTATATCAGCACCGTAAAGACTTAGATAGTGAACGAGTAACTACAAAGTTTTCGTAAAAACAAGACGGTGCAATAATCCGTTCGCGTAGTTTAACTGCTGTGTATTTTATTTTAGAAGATTTAGTGTTTTCAGCAGAGATCGTAGGCAAACGTATTCGTGCCAAATTGGATGGCACCCAAATTATATATAAAGGTGCATTTGGATAAGATCACAAACGACCATTGAGCACAAAGTAAGTTGTTTAAAATAACACTTATTTCATTAAATCTTTTTTTCCTGCACTTGTGTTTTTTGCTTTTAAAAATTAGTGGTCCAATGTTTCGTTTACGCTTCATTGCTCAAACTAATTGTAGCTCATTCATATATTGGTAACATTCATGCAAATTTAATGAGTCCTAGCAATTAACTTGCATGCAATTAATTCAATATGTCTAAATAATAATAATTCATTAAACAGAATAATATAACAATTTTGCATCATTTGCATAAGGATAAGGAATTATTTGAAAATAATTTCTGTTGTACGAATACGAGAACGAGTACGCGTAATTACCGTACATTGTCTATAAAGTTTTGTTGTAACATTGAAAAAATATTGTAAATTTTTTGCATTGCTATTTACTGTTATTCACGATTTAAAAAATTTTTGTTGCATTTACCATATTGAGTAGTGCTCGTGTCGGTTATCTTCATTTCTTGAACTTCGAATTTATTACTACATTTTTGGTTTATCATAACCAAACGTAACTGTAAATAAAGAAATTTAACATGAATCGGACTAGAAGAAAAATTGAACGCCCAAAGAATCCCTACTCAACCGCTAATATATTTTCGAGATGGAGTTTCTGGTGGATGAGAAATATATTTCATAAGGGTTTGCAAGGACCACTTGAAGAGGAAGAGTTATATCAGCACCGTAAAGACTTAGATAGTGAACGAGTAACTACAAAGTTTTCGTAAAAACAAGACGGTGCAATAATCCGTTCGCGTAGTTTAACTGCTGTGTATTTTATTTTAGAAGATTTAGTGTTTTCAGCAGAGATCGTAGGCAAACGTATTCGTGCCAAATTGGATGGCACCCAAATTATATATAAAGGTGCATTTGGATAAGAATCTACAAACGACCATTGAGCACAAAGTAAGTGTTAAATAACACTTATTTCATTAAATCTTTTTTTGCGCTTGTGTTTTTTGCTGTTTAAAATTAGTGGTCCAATGTTTCGTTTTACGCTTCATTGCTCAAACTGAATTGTAGCTCATTCATATATTGGTAACATTCATCAAATTTAATGAGTCTAGCAATTAACTTGCAGCAATTAATTCAATATGTCTATATAATAATAATTCATTAAACAGAATAATATAACAATTTTGCATGATTTGCATAAGGAATTATTTGAAAATAATTTCTGTTGTACGAATACGAGAACGAGTACGCGTAATTTTACCGTACATTGTCTATAAAGTTTTGTTATAACATTGAAAAAATATTGTAAATTTTTTGCATTGCTATTTACTATTATTCACGATTTAAAAAATTTTTGTTGCATTTATCATATTGAGTGGTGCTCGTGTCGGTTATCTTCATTTCTTGAACTTCGAATTTATTACTACATTTTTGGTTTATCATAACCAAACGTAACTGTAAATAAAGAAATTTAACATGAATCGGACTAGAAGAAAAATTGAACGCCCAAAGAATCCCTACTCAACCGCTAATATATTTTCGTGATGGAGTTTCTGGTGGATGAGAAAAATATTTCATATGGGTTTGCAAGGACCACTTGAAGAGGAAGACTTATATCAGCACCGTAAAGACTTAGATAGTGAACGAGTAACTACAAAGTTTTCGTAAAAACAAGACGGGGCAATAATCCGTTCGCGTAGTTTAACTGCTGTGTATTTTATTTTAGAAGATTTAG